ATCAGCAGGGGTTGGTTTAGGCATGAATAAGTTTCAATGAGTCAATATCACTTAAGGTAAGCTTCAGCTTGTGTAAAAGGTAACTCGAGTTAAATGTCTATAAGTAAGGCTAGTAAGCTTTACTTTGAGCTTGTATCAGCTTGATTTTATGTGTTTGTCAGTATGGATAATAACAGTAACACATGAATAGATAATAATGACAGAAATAATGAATGTTAGCTTGTGAGTCAGGTAACGTCCTGACTGAAACAATGAAGCCTCATTATACACTTCACGACCGCTTCGAAGCCCTGCTCGAATCACCTCCATCACTGTTCGGTTCACTCCACCCTTTCTCACCCATCATTTATCCGTCTCCACCCTTCTGGACCCCTCATCAGCCCTTTCCCATTTTTTTCTACTCTTCACCACACCTCATTACCCCTCGACACCCCTCACCTTCCTCTCCTCTCCACCACCCCTCATAATCCGTCTCCGCCCCACTCCACCCTTAAACAACTAAGACTTCTATTGATCTGGGGAGAAAGTTTGGAACCTTTACTTTATAAATATCCCATAGATCTGACATTTGGATGAAAAGGTCCTCCCCTGTTAGACGAAAACAAAGGCGCATCACTTCACGAGCGTGTAAACAACTCCAGTAGTATATGAAAAAGAAGTAACAATATATACCCTGTGATTCAAGTAAATAATTGAATATATAATATAATAGTACGCAGCGCATCTTGGTTATTTGTAAACTTTACTGTGCACACGAGTTATATAATCAGGTGGGAGAGTTTGGCTCTCTAAAGAGTTTAATCTATCAAAATACTGTGAAACATTTTTATTCTTCCTGACTGGGATCTGTCAGTGAGGTATCATTAAACAATCCTGTCAAAAATTATTTGCCATCATTCATCGGGAAAAATATGAACGAATTAGAAGATACAGTGTTTAAGTAATAAGGTGTTATGTATGCTGGTGGAGTAGTGACTGGTGAGGCGTGGCTAGTAATTAGCAGCACAGTGTGTCTGCCAGGCTCGTGAGCTCCACACACACTGCTGATGTTTATAACACTTGTTGCATATCTGTGTCATAACTCGCCCCTAGCATGTCATCACTTCTCCGTATTTACTTATTCAGTAATATATTTTCTAGTGAATATGTTTTTAATTATCTTTGCTGCTTTTATTTTGAGTTTCTTCGTGTTTTTCTTTGTTCCCATTTTTTAATACAACAGACAGCAACAAAAATTCCACGAGCAAACCCGTGCTGTGACGTCACTGAGGCAGCGACCTTGCGTTGCCAGTTTGTTCTTCATTATTTTCTTAAGTTTAGCATTGCTTCGTTTCCTGTTTTACTGTAAATGTGTGTTCTACCGGCACAAGAAATTATATTATCTTTCCATTAGTTCTATTAAATGATTTTAAGACTAATTGCTAAATAAATAAGGTAAGTGTTTCTAGAACAGGAGATTCAATTATGATGGCTCTTGATAACACTACTGTTGTGCCCCAGCAGTTGGCGCGCCACTTTCAGGGACGTTTAATCTCAATTTATGTATGTTTAGTGTTTCTATTCGCGACATTGTGGTTCTTCCAGCAATGTTGTGTCGGATACTTTCTAACTTTAACAGAAGACACCCCATTCCTTTTCTGAGTGGGAAATAATAAATCCATTGTTACCTGAACCCTGTACCGGTAAACTGGTGTCTTGAACTTTACTACTGTACAAGGACATCAAAATACCGCCAAAGTGGGAAACACCGGATATTCTACTCAATGAAAATAAAGTAAAATCAGACTCCTCAAACTTTTCACTCATAATATCGCCTATTAATGTTCTACAATGAAATAGGCTGTGATTACTTTACTGCTACGAGAGTTAGGCCATAAGAGGTGGTAATGGGAAAAAGATAAGAGGGACGATGGTGCCTTGATATCGGCGGTGCGTATTAGGATGTTAGGGCGGCCTTTTTATCACTACCAGATATGGTCAAGTCAACATATCCATGACACCGTTGAAGCTTTATGAAGGTGGGTGAACCGTGGCAGCTGACCTATGGGAGCGACATAATTATCCATGTACAGTTTATGCACAACTCCGCTGTATTGACCCTGATAACTCATAACTTCCGAACAATTGTACACTCCTCCATACAAATGTTTGCCGATGACGCCAAGTTATTTCGGGAAATTAAGAACCAAGCGGACTGTGAAGAACTGCAGAAGGACCTCTGTGGGCTCCAGGAATGGTCGAAGAAATGGTTGCTGAGATTCAATGTCATGAAGTGTCAGAGGATGCACCTGGGGCGTACCAACGGTAAGGAGGTGTATCATATGTCCCAACGGGATGAAGAAACTGCACTAGTTGAGACTGTATGTGAGAAGGACCTAGGTGTGTATGTTGACAATGAGCTGAAGTTCTTGGGCCATTGCTAGAAGAAGGTAAATCAGGCAAATAAATTATTGGGTCTTTTAAGAAGGTCGTTCAGATATCTAGACAATCCGTCCCTCGTAACAATCTTCAGGAGTGAAGTGCTTCCCCATCTGGAGTACTGTCACCCCATCTGGTCCCCGAAATATGCTAGGGACTGTCAGTTGGTTGAAAATGTTCAAAGGAGGGCCACCAGACTGGTGCCTGCACTTCGGCACCTCAGCTACCCTGAGAGATTGGAGCGCCTGAACTTGCCTAGCTTATACTACAGACGGGCAAGGGGGGACCTAGTTGAGGTGTATAAGAATCAAAGGGGGCACTACTCAGTTGAGTGTCCTTACTTGGAGCTGGCGGATGCTCGCCCCACAAGGGGTCACAGCTCAAAATTGAAGAAGCCGCAAGTCCAGAAAACCGTGAGGGCAAACTTTTTCGGAGTGAGGGTTGTAAACTCTTGGAACAATCTACCAGAGAGTGTTGTGACGGCACCGAGTGTGAGCTCTTTCAAGACAAGACTTGACCAACACTAGAGCGGGTTCAGGCACATTCAGGAGCCTGTGCATGCCCAGTATTTGCCAACAGTGCGTGACAGAGACGTGACCGATCGCCCGGGCGGCTAGCGAGCCGATCTTTTGGTGAAGGAGATAAATGAAAAGGAAAAGTAATCAGAGACGTGACCGATCGCCCAAGCGGCTAACAAGCCAATCAGTGGCAAAGAGGATAAAAGTAAAAAAAAAAAAAAAGTATTATGTAATTATTTGTACAGTACTTTCATTTACACCAACTATGTAAAATAAGTACTGTGCAAAAAGCTTACGTTGTTATCGAATTATTAAGTGTTTTCGAACTGATAGAGCCAGGCAATATCAAGTTTGTAATCGGTAAAGGGGCAATATATAATGTTGGCCAACCGGCCTTTAATTAGTGATACGCTAGTCACGTGTGTGTGTCAGCAACTTGTAGCACCACCAGCTGATAATGCTGACACTCGGTCAGCCTATTATGTTGACCTGCCACTTAGCAGGTCTGAGAACACTTATTATCCATATCACATAGGAGCCTTCCTCTCATATGCTTTATTCTCATTCATTCATACCCTTTATTTCATTCGAATATTAAAATGTTTTCCTTTATTATTTTTATAATGGTACATTTAAAGTGAGGCCGGAATCAGACAAATTCTGATGCAATTTGTCCGACACTTTCATCTGGGAAAAAAAAAAAAAAAAACAGACAGAATTACTCACTGCAATACTTCACATTCTGGGTGAGGCATTCACACTGGCATGTAGGATTATGTCAGCTGCAATTGGTTATTCCTTTTCCACCCAGATGAAACTATCGGACAATATGTCCGATTCCGGCTTCAGTGTGAACGCGCCCTAATAGCTTCACTACGGGAGAGTCCTGGGGTGAAGATTCATTTCATGTTTCAGCTCATGTGCGGCATCAGGGCCAGGCAAGATGTGGAAATGGCAGTAATAGGCTATATGAGGTAGGGATGTTGAACAGTGGGGAACGAGGCTATGTTGGTAATACACTAATACATACAGTACTGTACCAGGACTAGACTATGGTAGCAGCAGTACAGTACTAAGCCCCAACAGTGTGTATCAGAGACGTGACCAACCACCCAAGTGACTAACGAGCCAATCAGTGGCGAAGAGGATAAAAGTAAAAAGATACCATACAGTAGTAGCCAGCGCCCAAGTAGTATAGGGGGGGGGGGTTTATTTAGTACTGTACTGTACTGTTATCCTCAGGCCGGAAAGCTGAAGGATCCGAGAAACAGTCTCTGATACTATATACTATTGTTGTGATCTTTTTGTCTAAAAAGTTGGTAAACAGTGGGGCAGTTATTTGAGGAACACTAAAGAGCTTAATGTAAAAAATTGCAACACTTTTAGATAATTATTTTATTCTTATACAGTACTGTACTATATATTTATTGAAAAATATTTATATAAGAATATAAGAACATTAGCAATAGCAAATAGTGCATAAGCAAAATATCCAAAGTGTAGAGGCAAAGACCTAGATGGAAGGATACACTAGATGTGAAGAGGATAGACATTACAAAAGGAAGAGTGTGCATTAACAACTGAAAAATTTGGTGTAGAGGTTTTTGGGGAAGGACATGGTGCTGATGGATGATGCTGGCTTGTGTGAAGCGACAGTAGAAAACTAGATTTTGAGCATTGAAGAAGATATAGTAATTATCATAGCAGAATACTATACAGGTACTCCTTGACTTACAATCGCCGCAGTCGTAAAATTTTTTTTTCAAATTACGTATTTTCGAGTCACGACATTTGTGATCGCTCTGTGTACTGACAAAATTTCCGTTTGTAATTCCCTTTAAAATGGCTAGCAAGCATAAAAGTGAGAGTTCCCGTGGTGCTGAGAAGAATAAGAAACACCCATTTTAGATTTTCTATGTATTATTTTTGCATTTTCGACTTACGACCAAGTCGACTTACGACCTGGTCGTCGGTCCCAAACCCCCGTCGTAAATCGGAGACTGACTGTACAGTATATATTTTTGAGCAGTAAGAATAAATGATGACAATGAATGAAAGAAAATATAAGTGTAAATTACAATAATTAATTTTTGGTGATCTTACATTAATAAGGAGAAGAATTATTTTTTTTTGTCACTAGAATAAGGCACATCATCATCCTGAGGGAACAATATTCTGAAAAGCTATTCTTTCTTAACAAAAAGCTAATGTGCTGCAGCTGTGCAAACTTGGGGTGTAATAAAGGATTGGGATAAAAGCAGATGGATATCGTTGGGACTTTTAGTAGAGGGTAACACTGTAAGCGAATAAGGCAGGTAGTGAGAAAAAATATTAGCAAGTGTGGGTAGAGTGTCTGCTTTTAAAACAGTCCACCCTGTGCCATGGGTAGAAAGAGCTTACAAGATGTTAATAGCATGCTCACAAGGTTGTATGGTGCAATTCATTTTGTTGACAAATTTCTTCTGATTACTCTGGTAACTCTTTGGTCAACTCACTTTCATAATAACTCAAAATATTAACAACTCCCTCAGCACATCAATAAAACTTATACATATTGTACAGAATCTGTTATATTTTACACAATTTAAATGTGTACACTATATATTTATATTTTTTAATTTTATTTTATATTAAATGTATGTACAGTCAGCAAAAAATATTCTGCACCCCTTGGTCTGATGGCTTCTGCAACGATCACTGACTGAGGCCATGTTAATATGGTAAGGTTGGTATTTCTGGTTGTGTGATGCATTGTATAACCAGTATGATGTATTTTTTATATCATATACCATAGTTAATACAGAGACATTAACAGGAATCGCCCACGTAAATGAGTGTTTTCAGAATTCTTGGTCCGGTATGTCATATTGTATAACACCATAAAGGTGCAGAATTTTTTTTGTTGACTGTACAAAAGTTAAATCTAACATCCTGTACACAGCTCCCTACCACTGCAGGGTAGAAGAATTAGGAGCCCTGACAAGACTAGACTGTATGTACCATCAACAGAAATGCCCCTCACACCCTAATTATGTCTGTATTACAATCATTCTTACATTATTTTTTTTTCATTGACTGAGGTTCAAAGAACATTATTTAGTTAAGGTAGTTTCAGTACAATTTCAGTGCCATTTTGGTTGACATCTTTGTATTGTAACTGAAGGGGGACAATTAGGTGCATCCTGTACTTAAATCTTCAGTTTGGAGAGAATTTTATTGGAAGAACGATCAGAACCTAAGACCTGGTCATCAGATAAAATTTGTACCCCACAGCTTGGAACTCCAAAATATTACTGTAATAATTAAAATATACCGTTCCACTCTTTAAAAAATCTAATTTGTAACTTAATTATTAGGAAAGCAAACTATTGTATTCTGAGACTAAGAGTTCATAAAATGGTATTAAGTTACTTGGGGATTTTATCATCATCAGACGTCTACAAGAAGTTGACAATTTACACGCGTGCTTAATGAATTGCAATTTATATTCCATATACAGTACTGTATTGTATTGTAATTAGCATAAATTTATAATGCTATTTTTTCTTCTTCAAATACTGTATTACTTGACAATATAATTTACATGAAATACCTGTATCTGAAAACTGTACAGTGTTATTGTAATATGCATACTTTAGGTTCCCTACAACCAAGATCCATTTGTTTGTTATAAAATACAGTTTGGTTTATATTATGAAAAATTAAATCTTTAGATGACTGCCCATATGCATGTCCTAAATATCTAAAAATGTTACTGAATATTCTCAAAAAGTTTAGCAATCTGCAGTGCTTCGTTCTTCAAGCGAACACCCTGCATGTTGGTGATTATTGCAACAACAACCCCTTTAGGGGGAGTCCCATGCTCTTTGCTGCTGTAATCTTGCTTGGGCAGAACCAGGAGGCAACTACTGGCCCCTACTGCCCCTCCTGAATGAGAAGCATGACGTCGAGAACTTCGACAAAATCCACATAAATATTTGTCTTCTGCAGCGCCCCAACCCATTCCATAGCCGCTACCAAGGGGCCCGGTGCCCTTCACTGGTGTCCAGAGATCTCGCATGGTTGATACCTTCAAGATCCCTGGCACACTTTGGGTACCTGACAAAGTAATTCAAATACTGGTATAGGTATTACAACTTTCTTTACTGTACTTCCTGATAAAAAATAAAATAAAATATGGTTAGTATCATAAACAAAGGTCAAACTATCAACCTCAGCAAAAGATCCTCTAAGAAGAAATTTGCAATGAAATTCCGTAGGTGGAACTGATATTTAAGGGAAAGGAAGAAGAGAAATTAGTTTAACGAGAATTTATCCAAAGATATAAACAAACCATCGTCACTGTTGTGTTGGCTTGCATACAGCATGATATTTCCAAACTTGCTGAGGTCATGAACTGTAGAGAGGAATCCACCACCGGCCCACTTATAAGAGTTGTCTATGTATGCGGCGTTCATCAGCTTTCCATGTACGTCACGAACATAGTTCCTTAAAAAAGAAAAACCAAGTACTGTATGATATAAACTTTTACCATGTCTGAATAAATACTGAATTAACCAAGTACTGTAGGTAAATAATGAAATACAGTAGTACAGTAACTTCCACACTAGAATACACAACTAGACATTGCTGATGAATGTGTAATACAGTACATTCTTTTTTAGCAAGGTAACAACTTCCACCAGATGGAGTCTTTTTGAAGGTTGTGACTGACCAAAAGAGACTGTAGCTCTGGGAATTATCAGGAGAAACATATAATGTACAGAGGAAATTACTTAATATCACCTCACAAAGTATCGTAACTCACTCTGTGTAACTAATTTCTGAAAACAATAGTGTGTCAAATCGCCTTTATTGTACAACCTTGTTTTAATCTTAATCTTGTTTACTAGGTTAATGAGATATTAACCCAACATCAGACAAGGTGATGTCATGCACCTTAATCCAGTTGTCTGATATCCTGTGGCAGCTTAACATGGTAATCTGAGGTCATTGGGTGATGCTCGATATAACGAGCTGTGTTACCTTGTGCCACCCTACATCTGTGAAAAGCTTGTAAATAATGTCAGAATAAAACAAATATGTAGTGTCCCAAGCATTATATTTCTTTATAAAAAAATCTATTAATATGAAACTAATTACTCCTTGAGCAACAATATACTGTACAAGTAAAGACTGTAAAAGCTTTATACAGTACTGTATAGAGTAATGATATGAAGGAGAATACAGTACAGTACAGGTAATTGTAGTACAGGTTGTACCTCTCTAGTCCGGCAACCTCGGGACCTGACCGGTGCCGGACCATGGAAATTCACCCTTTTCCTGGATAGATAGTGATTTGTACTTATGCCTGGAAGCACTAGCACCACTTTCTCTGCATCATGGTCTCTTTGAAGACATATTGAAGGGTTAAATGTCGTATAGTAGCTTCTCAAATTTCGCGAGTTTTTAATTCTTAACGTATTTTATTGGAACACACAAAAAAATAAATAAATAACAATTCTGACGGCGGAAACTTGAATTTCGACGGGTTTGAACGGCTCGCCAACGTGCAGACGACGTGCATAATCGTGTAAACAGCGTCATTTCTCTAATGTACAAAAGATTCATTATTGTTTATTAATGTTTATGTGTGCAAAATGAGCAATACAATTCATTAATAATACGTAGAATATTAAAACACACGAGGAAATGATACAGCATTGTATTCGTTGATTACAAAACCAGTGACTGACTGGTTCTACATATAAAACTGAAGAAAATAAGACCTTGGTTGTAGCTGTAGTAAAATTAATATGGTTGTTTTAAGTAATGTTATTTAATGTTAATAAATGGAACAATAGAAGTAGCTAACGATAATGGTAAAGAAAAAAGAGAGATCGCATATGTAAGTGCGCATGCGCACACGTGAAAACATATCATCATTACTTTACATAAGAACATGAAAGCAACACTTATTTACTGTTCATATATATTTTAATTAATGTTTCTGAATTTGTTTTTATTGAATTAATGTACGTGTGTGCAAAATTAACAATACAATTTATTAATAATACGTGGAATATTAGAGGAGACGAGACGGCTCCCGGCATTGTTTATGTTAAAGCTTACGAAACCAGTGACTGATTGGTTCTACATATAAAACTGAAGAAAATAAGACTCTGAGTTTAGCTGTAGTAAAATTAATGTAAAAAAATGAATATGGTTGCTTGAAGTACCTGTAATGTTAATAAATGGAACAATATAAGTAGCTAACCATTAACGGTAAAAAAAAGTGAGACTACTCGTATGTAAGTGCGCACATGTGAAAATATATCGTCATTACTCTACATAAGAATATGAAAGCAACACTTATTTACTGCTCATATATATTGAAGGGTTAAATGTTGTACTCTGTATAGACAAGCAGAGAGAGAGAGCAGCCGAACTGCCGGATGTAAACAAACCTTAATTTCCCGCGGCTTTTTTTTTTAAGGGGATTAGCCCACCCGGGAATAGGTCACTGACCCACATTGGGGCCTGAGGGGCAAAAATTTAATACTCCTGTAATAATAATAATAATTCAGATAAGTAAAAAAAAAGAAGCTGCCTATCTACCTATTGGACAAACTAAAATCGTTCCGGACCACAGAATGCCGGACTAGAGAGGTACAACCTGTACTGGGTAAATAAATGCCGTAGTTTTGCCTTACCTGGATCTATTATAAATAATGGGATTATTTTTGTCAAGGTATGTATTATCCATCCCAAGGACATAAAAGAGACCAGTAATGACTTCAGTAAACGGTTTCCCGGAAGCAGCCTCCACCACGCCACTCACGACCGTCCATCCATGAGTTGTGTAATGGTAACCTGAACCTACAAGTTGAAGGCTGATTAATAACTCATTCATTTACCATACTGTACATAATGGAGAGAACATATAAATTTTTTATATGTAGCACCTAATGCCAAATTGCTAAAATCTTTGATACAGTAACTTCTTTGTTTATCTAATTTTAGTTTCTGATAGCTCTTATAAGAAGATTCAACTTATCAAAGAGTCAGGTAAACATTCAAGTAGAGTACAGTTCAGTATATATGATTAAAACTATTGATCAAAGAAATGCTCTCAATTTTAATAAAAAATATATATTACTGTACAGTATGTGAAAATGTGTAGAGGGTATAATTATTGGTAGATGATACTGCAGTTTATAATACTGTACACTAAACACATGAAATAACTCACATGATATAGAGAGAGAGACAAACTTCAGATGTAAGATATACCAACATGTGTAGGCAGTACTGTACTGATGGGTTGCTAAATAATATACATCACAATATTACTTAAATTTCAATATCGTATCATTCTCATAGTAAACTTTGAATCGTGCGTTGTCATCTGTTACTACGGTCTCACTATATTAACATGCCTTTTCCCCATAATCCAACTAGGTAGAAGGCTTGGAATTTCACAGTGGCTATAAATATCCTTGCCCTAAGAATACCACACATTCATACATCCTGTTCACAGCCAGTGTTCTGTGACCTCATTCTACTTTAGTTGTTAAACATTTTTCAATGTGGTCCCTCCGTTAATGAACTCAATCCGTTCCAGCAGGTTGTTCGTTAACCGAAACCATTGTTTCAATGGGTTTTTGGGTAATTGGTTCCAGCTCACCGAAAATTGCCTAAATTCAACAAAAAAGGTAGAAAAGTACACTTACTTTGAGGTGTGTATGTAGAAGGCTCCTGGATGATGATGATGATGATGATGGGAATTAGAATGGGGGTGGAGGAGAAGGAAGAAAAAGGCATTGGGGTGGAAGAGAAGTCACCCCATGGTGCCATTTCACCCATAAAATTTTAGTTCTCTTGGTGTATTTCAAGATTATTTTCTTTAAGTCAACACTGCACTGCATTATATATTGTCAATATGTAAAATATATTTCAAAATGACCAATAATTTGCTTGGAAACACAGAAAAAAAGCATTTAGTTGAAGAGAGTCTCAAGCAAGATGTTACCTCCAGTGAAAACAGAGAGAGACTAACTCCTGTTTGCTGTGTTAAGAGACTGGATGCCGCGCATTAAACTAGTCACTTTACCTTCAATTATGTTCAATAATTGTTAAAATGACTAAAAAATTGAATATTAAACTTTTAAAATTATTGAATAGTATAAACTTCTTGATATTTACTAAAATAGTTAGGAATTTAAGCCCTAGAACCGATTAATGTATTGGCGGACTGATACTAAAGCTGGTTGCCCGGCCAGTGCAAGCGAAAACATGTTGAGGTCGGTTCGTAAGAAATTCGTTAACCGAATTTTTGTTCGTTAACAGAATTGAAGATTCTTATGGAAGGCAGTTCGTTAAACGAAATTTCGTTAACCGAGGGATCACTGTAATTTCCACTCCAGGCTTAGTTACTGTCTTTTTCCACTACTTTACTGCTTGCCTGAGAAGCTTCCAATCACACCTGCCCCTGCATACACCCATGGCTACCTACATGCTGTTGACAAATACATCACAGCCAAATATCACAGTTTTTCTTCACCTCAGCACTTACTTCCACACTTATACCTTCCTCATATGTTTATTCCTTCATCTTGTCCATCCACATCTTCCCACATGCCTATTCTGACTTTCCTCTATCATGCTTTTTCCAATTTTTGCCTCTATCATTACTCACTCTTATTACTTCTTACATACTTTTCTACCTCCATTCTCTTATTATATTTTTTAGTTCCTCAATTCTCTTGTTTAGAGCTGCTACATGTACTGTAGTACTTTGAAATGTAATTTCAGTTAACTGTGCTTCAGTTAACAGCATATGTTGTACTGTCAAGTTACTGAATCTATTGAGTAATAAGAAAAACTGTGACTTCTTCCCAGTCTATCTGTCTATTGTCTATCAAAAATTCTAAAATCTGTTTGTACAATATTGACTTTGTATAGTACCTAACTACTTGCACAATGGTATCCAACACCCATATCTCTTCCATGCCCCTACAACTGTTTTTTATTACCAAGGCACTCCTAGTTGATATACGTATCTTTCAAGTGTGATACATACGACTTCCGTGTGTCAAGTATTTTGGTAAATTACGGGGTACCTCAATCAGACATACAGTACAATACTTACATACATTTTGACTTTACTGGAATAGAATCACTAATGTTACATGTGACTTTAGACCCACCAGGTTTGAAGAAGAGCTCATCATTTTGAAACAGTTCCAATGCCTCCTGAATGGTGTCAAATTCTTCCTTAATATAATATTCCTCCATGTTAAATTCATTCTCTTCCTCCGCTTTTTCAATCATTTTCCTTCTTTTGTTGGCTTTTGCTCTTATGATTTTGTATAGCTCCATTCTTTTGCGATCAGTTACTGATATACAATTTCCATTCTTCTCATCTCCATTCTGTTTGTTGTCTGAGAACTCTTTTTCACTTTTAACTTCTTCTGCACTAATGGCGACCGCTTTTTCATCTTGTATTTTTTCATTCGTCTCGTCTTTCTCCTCTATTGCTTTCTTTGACACTTTGTTTACATTTTCTTTGTTTTTATATTATATATCATAAACACCTGCCTGATCTATATCTTACTGTACCCTAAACACCTTCCTGTTGTACATCTGACTGTGTTCTAAATATCTTCTGGTTATACAACAAAGTGCCTCATTAACACCTTCAGTCAAATCCCAGGTTTACTAATGCTCACTTGTGTATGCTCCTCCACACTGACAAACATCTAACATACAGTACTCACTCACTCTTACCTTACCACCTTACCTTCTTGAGTCAGTTTCTGTTCTGTATCTGTATATCTAAATCAAATCATATTCTCATATTAGGGTACTGTATACAGACCAATGTGCTGAATATCTTATACTGTACTAGATATAAGAAAAACTGGTTGTGTTGCAACTAAAGGATATTATGTCACCATAGAAAGGCTCCAAAATACTTTCAATAAATAACCTTTGTTAAAAAGACACATACACATGCATGTAAGTATGCATGCATGAAGGTACCTCTCTCCCACATACGCACACCATTCTATACCCTTTACTATGATAGTTACCTTACATAAGCCACATTAAAAACATTAAGCTATTTCCTTTAAACCCTCACTGTATTAGTTTCTATTAAACAAAACTTTTCCCTTTTTTTATCTCACTTCTTTAAATAAACAATATAATCTACAATGAATGGATGCACCTAATTAACAATTCATACATCTACCTTTGTGTCTTACCTCCTCACCATTGTAGGTTTTGACAGGGAAACTTGGAATATATTTCTGAATTGGAGCATCAAGATCCAGTTTCCCTGCTTCCCATAATTTAGCAACGGCAGTCATGGTCAGAGGCTTGCTGATGCTGGCTATACGCATCACAGTATCTGGTGAGCACCGAACATGGTTCTCAAGATCAGCAAAGCCAAAACCTGAAAAGAATTACCGTAAATAGTATCTATAATTGTAGAATCCCCCAACCACTTGGTGTAGGTTAGGTTATAATCCACACCATTTTAATATTTTAGAGGATTTTATAATCATTCCACATAAATTATATCTGTATGTCTGAGAAGGTTTCGTTTCCATACATAAATATAAAAAAATTTAACTTGTATCATTTAGTTTAAGATGCATTTCTTTCGATAGTTATTATTAATACATACAGGGTACTCATTTCTTAAAAATGAACCAGACATATGCAGAGGTTGAGCATAACTATTCCTGCTCTGAAATGTCACAAATACTGAAGGCTGACAAGTTAGAATAACATACCATCTGCCCAAACTGTCTTGCCATCCACGGACACTGATATAACTAGGCCTGGTGCCCCAGCCTCCTCCATAACACGTTTCAATAGCTGACGAGATTTCCTCACTGTCTTCTGTAGATCACTCAATTTTTCTTTTTGAACAGAACCAATAATTGCTGCAGTGCTGAAAGCTTTTGGACTATTTTGAACATTGGCAGTGTCTTCTTCAGAGGATTCTTGAGTCCGGGGGTCATATTTCTCTGTGCCGGCAACATCTCGACCAACTGAATGAATTTCCTGACTGTCCAAGAGTTCTTCAACTGAGACACTAGTTTTTGTAGAAGCTTTTGGTGAATTAGGAGGCAAGTCTTTATCAATTATATCTTCTCCTTGGCTCTTACATAGAGCAGAGCCCATACCAAGGGCAGCTGCAGTCCCCACAATTCCAAAAAGCATTCCCGCTTGATTACTATGAGTAAACCGTTGTCTTTGTTTGTGCTGTTCATCTTGTTCATAACTCTTCTTAACTAGATAAGGATTGATATTACTTGACTTGTGATTGGAAGATTCCTGAGTTCCTCTAGATGGATGCTGTTGATGTATGTAGCAACCTTGGACGATTGCAGAACCTGCAGGCCTGTCAACATGAAATGTTCTGACAAAAATTTATCAATGTAAGATAATTTATGTCAGTTAAAAAAGTAATCTGACAACACATTTCTCATTTATTTTTTAACTAGGATTTTATTACTAAATGAATATGGAATAGACTGGTTATTCTATAATCTTGATATCCTGTAGTCAATGAAGAATGTTATTGCTGTACTTTAATTATGAAAGGATGAAGACATGACCCAAACTTACCCACCTCCCCATAAACCTTCTTTCATTTCAGGGAATGTGAATGGTTATCAAACTTTGTGCCTGACAACTCCAACTATAACTAAGTAGGTTCGCAGTCTGAATAATGTTACGGGTGTCCCAAGGAGTTATTAGTTAGGCGGTAAATATATCACGTAGGCCCAAGCTAGCGCCTGGGGGAGACGAGACGCTGGCTAGGCCAGTTCCGGAGAGCATTCACACAGACAAGACGTTCCGCGCGTCCATCAGAAATAGTCACGTGGCCTAGTCACCTGTGCTGCGCTATTGCAGTATAACAAGTAAGTCTCATTCGATCTCAGACAGGGTTAGATAGGGCAGTGATAAAGTAAACTAGAGCTAACAGTGAGTTCATTTCAGGGTTTCCGTCAGAACCCACTTGACTGGAGTTGACCGGAGTTGACTGCGAGAGATTGACTGCCGTTGATGATTGAGGGTGGCGATTGTCGCCATTGGACCGATCAGTGTAGGCCTGTCACTGTTTAGCGGGGTAGCAAAGGATCTCTTGAGTGAACGAGTGCTCCCGACAACTAACACGACACGGGACCAGCATCAGCAGTGGGTGATCAGTTCTTACCACTCCGGTGCACAACCCCACATGTCCCGAGCAGCTAGTGAAACCCTCTTGCTAACGGGAAGCTAAAGTTTCTCTCAACTGCGCAAGGTCTGATTGGCTCACTCTCTTCCTGCCCATGGACGCACTGGGAGTACACTGAGGCTATCTGAGTATATTAATGGTCACACACTGAGACCGTGAGTCTAGGACTCTAGGAGATACCTAGAGGAACATTTTATCTTCCTTATCACGGGTGTAGTTAACACCATTCCTCAGACTGATATTATCTTGACGTGTGTAGTTTAATATTTCTTGAATAATTTTGATAGTAGTGTTTTTTTTGAATGTTTGTGCCATTAAGTGGAACCAGAGTGATACTGTGATTTGATTCTTTTAATGCCTCTAATTCTTCATAATTCTGATCTCAGGTATAACCTTGTTCCCCAGAGCAGTGGTTAGGTTAGGTTAGGAAGTGTACACCTGTTGGGGTGCTATAATTTTGTTGAGTGATTTATTTTGTGAAAGCCCTTAAGGCCTGTTCATATGTGCAATTAACATTTCTTAATACTTTAAATTTATTGTTGCCTGGGTTTCTAATAATTTCTATGTCATGTATAACTTTTATTCCCCAGAGTAGTGGTTAAAGTTTAAGTTAAGAGGTGCGCATATTGGTGTACCATTATTTGATTGTGTTTGTAGTGTTGGAGGGAATATAAGTGTCTAAATTTTACAGTGTGTCTCATTCATCCCAGTCACAGATGCTATCCTTCCACGGGTCACGGACAATTCATTTTGTGTAGTAGATTTAAGTGTTCTTGTGCTGGTTCGGGATTTTTCTCAAAGGGGCGCTTCCACTGCCATTACCATCTATTAATTTTTAATAAACCCCAAGTCAAGTGAGAAATTAAAGTCCAGCAAATTCCGACCGGTTACATATATATATATATATATATATATATATATATATATATATATATATATATATATATATATATATATATATATATATATATATATATATATATATATATATATATATATATATATATATATATATATATATATATATATATATATATATATATATAACACGGAATAACGTGAGTACTCAGCTTGCCTTATTCAAGCATATCTTTCAAGATTTAAAGCCAAGGTACTCTCGTTGTTTATTTTCCTGCAGGATTTTATCAAGATTTATCTTATCCACGCTCCTAAATACACCCTGTAGGCCCAGGTCTCGATTCCTGCTGGTGAGGTCATATATATATATATATATATATATATATATATATATATATATATATATATATATATATATATATATATATATATAGATATATATATATATATATATATATATATATATATATATATATATATATATATATATATATATATATATATATATATATATATATATATATATATATATATATATATATATATATATATATATATATATATATATATATATATATATATATATATAGGTAGTTCTCCTATAACGCGATAATTGTGTTCATGTAAAATATCGTGTTATAGAAAATCGCGTAATAGAAATAACAGGGCTTATGGAGAAAATAGTGGTTAGGTGCAGATTACTCGAAATCGAAAAAATTTAGTAGTTAGCCTAATACAAAGGATAGCACAGTCTAAATAAATGTTACATTCATATCTAATAATGAAATCATACAGTAAATGTAACACTTTAGTTGATGGGGGAGAAGGGTGATTTTGAGGTTGATAAAATCGAGCTTCTCTTCAAGTGTTATATCCTTTCTTTTACGATCATCACCGGGAATTCTATCACCAGAACGCTTCTCGTTGATATTCTTTACTATATTCACAGTTAATACAGTGGGGTATGCTATAACGAACGAAACTCCTACAACGAACATTATTTAATTTTTTTTTTTTTTTCTAATTTATTGTTTTTTTATTACAAATATTAATGATATTCTTTATTTCAGGGGTTTAGATGCATATTTATGCACTTTTTTACAATTTTTACAATTTTATACAGTTAACCCTCACTTTACGCGGTCCCACATTCCGCGTTTCCACGTTTACGCGGTGCCCTGCCGGAACCCAGGATGCTCACATTCCGCGGTGCGTGTACCCCTTTACGCGGAGAGCGGCTGGCGAGCCGCGCCATTTTTGGATCCAAACCTCCCGCCATCCGCCATGTTGTGTAAGCGGCGCGAACATGGTGCGCACAAGGTCGCCCAGTCATCAAAACCTTACCAGTTCTTCACCCGCCACCCACCACAGCCGGCCCAAGTCAGTGATAGTGATAATTATGGTGAGGATATGGACTTATATGGACTTTGGGGAGTTTGACAAAGAGGCCCTGCAAGCCTCTGTGGTGGATAGTGATACAATTGATACAAGTGACACAGGTGAGGGCCAATAATCTGCCCTCTGCCTCGGAACCAACCGCCCATCCCCGTGTGCCCAGCCATTTTTTCTACTAATGTAAGTGTTAAAAAACCTAATGTTATTGATATTTCTCTTAATTATTAATTGTGTGTGCATACCATCATAAAGTTAAGATAATATTTTTACTACAACATAGTTGTGTGTCGTCAAAAAGTGGAGTTTGGGGATCGGCCCGGACTCCATTTCAATTAATCCCATATGTTATGTTATTCACTTTACGCGGGACCCTCTGGGTTAGATTAACCGTTTAAAGTGAGGGTTAACTGTATATATATATATATATACATATATATATACATATATACATATATATAATAATACATATATATATATATATATATATATATATATATATATATATATATATATATATATATATATATATATATATATATATATATATATATATATATATATATATATATATATATATATATATATATATATATATATATATATATATATATATATATATATATATATATATATATATATATATATATATATATATATATATATATATACAGTTTTACCCCGCTTAACGCGCTTTCACTTAACGCGTTTTCGCATATACGCGGTGCCTTGCCAAAGCTGAACTTTCACTTAACGCGGATTTTTCCACAGCAACGCGGTGAGTGTCCGGCTCGGATGCTATTTTTAGATTTTGACCACGCGCCACCCGCCCGCCCGCCCTCCTGCCTGCCTGCCTGCCTCTCCCTCCTCCTCCCTCCGCTTGGGCAAGCGGCGCGGTAAGGTTGCGCAGTGTGTGTCTTTGTTGCGTTATCACTGACGTCATATGACGTCTCGGAATGTGATTGGCCATGCAGCCCTACCCCCCTCTGCTGCTAGCTGTAATTGGCTTAAAGTATTATGACGTGACTACCCCGGGGAGGGAGGGAGGGAGGAGAGACGACGCTTGACCTAGCTGCGGCAGTTTCATCCCTCAAGGCCACGCCGGGTTAACGCGCATCCATTGTTCCGTAAAATGGCTTCCGCCGGACCACCACCCCCAGAGAGAAACCTTTCCTTACCGGGACCCAGCGGCACTAAACCAAAGAAGACACGACGTTCATTAAGCTACGAGCTGAAGTACCAAATTGTTCAAGATTTGGAGAAAGGAAGACGCCAAGTTGATCTCGCGCGCCAGCATGGCGTCAACGAATCTACGATTCGTACAATAAAGAAGGATGCAGCCAAGATAAAGGAGCACATGAAGATCACAAAGTCTGCAGGTGCTTCATCTATCAGGTATTGCCAGAACAGGGTGCTGGCAAAAGTGGAAACTTTGCTGGTGAGTTATTTGGTGCGTCAGGCGCGACGCAACATGGCGGTGGACACGTGCTCAGTGCAGGAGTACGCACGTGAGCTATACGCAGCAGTGACACGTAAACTGGGAATTGCAGAGCCCAAACCCTTCAATGCTTCCCATGGTTGGCTGCATAGGTTTAAGAGGAGGAACAAGGTCACCAACATCAGCATTGTTGGTGAGGAAGCGAGTGCTGACCGTGCGGCGGCTAGAGATTTTCCTCCGTTTTTACGTGAGATTATGGAGGAAGGACAGTACAGTGATGACCAGGTGTTTAACATGGACGAATCTGGTCTTTTCTGGAAAAAGTTACCTTCCAAGACCTTCGTTGTCCAGTCTGCGAGCAAGGTAAGGGGCCGGAAGATGCAGAAGGAACGCATCACCGTCCTGTTTACCACCAATGCCTCCGGTACCTGTAAACCAAAGTTATCGGTGATTCACAAAGCTCGCAAGCCGCACGCCTACAAGAATATGGACATGAACAAGCTTAATGTCCAC